TGGCTTGCCTCCCCCCTTCTGAGTCCTTATTCCCCCATGCCAATTTCTTCAGGTATTGGCAATTAGCTAAGGATACAAAACAGGGTTTGGTTAATTCATGTATAATATTTTATTAAATTTAACATTATATGTGTATCAAAGTACAAGACATCATATCCTCTTCACCAATAAACCTTGTGAGCTTTCTTGTTCTTTTCCAATTAAGTTGGCAGGCAAGATAAGAACTCTGAGCTGTGGAATTTGATGATATTTTAAGGTTGGTAGCCTGAGATTAAAATATACAGGCTTAGGTCCACTATGGCCTAAAGGAATGGTCCTTCTGAATATAATGTCATGAATATAACATGGATCCCTCTGACCTCAATAGTTACTGTGTCTGTCTAAGAGATAATAAGATAATAAGATAATAAGACAATAAGACAGAACAAATGCTCTGAAGAAAAGCTATGAAACAAGCCACTAAGTGATGATTAAAAGTGTTGAATTTTAGGGTCTTAAGGATATTGTGAAAATATCAATATAGTCTTGTTTATCCAAAAAAAAAAGTTTACATAATAATTTTGTTGTATATTCAAAAGGAATAGCAATTTGTGCATAGTTGATTTGCAGTTTCATGTGCAATCATCTTTTTTATTGTGCTATGTAATGGAAATGCATGTTTTTTTCATAAATTAAAAATAAAATTTAATAATAAAAAAGAATATTATGAAACTATCGAAGTCTCAAAATCCTAGGGTCACAGAATATACAGCCTCTCAGATAGGCAACATGGTATACTGGGGAAAAGATTGGATTTGTTTGAGAGGATCTGGATTCAAATATCAGTTCTGCTACTTACTACCTGTGAGACCTTGGATAAATCACTTTACATTTCAGTGTGTGTCTGAGCTTCTTCATTTTAGGAGAGGAGTTTGGACTAGATAACCTTTGAGGTCCATTCCTGATCTAAATTTGTGTTCAGAGGTGGGTAGATCATATAGTAGGTAGAGTACTTGGCCTAGAGTCAGAAAGACCTGAATTCAAATGCAGCCTCAAATACTAATTAGCTGTGTTACCCTAGGCAAGTCACTTAACCTCAGTTTGCTTCCATATCCTCATCTGTAAAATGGGGATTATGATAACATGTACCTCCCAGGGTTGCTGTGAGGATCGAAAGAGATATTTATAAAGTGTTTGGCATAGTGCCTGGCACAGGCATTATATAGTGCTAAGTAAATTATTATTATTATTACTGTTATTGTTATTATGCTAGCGATAGACTCAGAAAGGGATCTAGATTCAAGACCTATCTCTGACATGGACTAAGTGTGTAACCCTGGGTAAATCACTTAATCTCTCAGAGCTCCAGGTAAAACTTAAAGAGGGTGAGTTGGAAAGAAAAAGTGGATTTGAAGTAAAAGGAATTCCTCACAGAGAGTTCCCTATAACAAAGAAATCACAACTAGCCCAAAACATACCTGTTGTTGTTGTTGATGTTGTTCAGTAGGATCCAACTCTTTGTGACTCCTTTTGGGGTTTTATTGGCAAAAATCCTGGAGTGGTTGGCCATGTCCTTCTTGATGAGGAAAGTGGGGTAAATGGGGTTAAGTGACTCGTCCAAGGTCACACAACTAGTAAATATCTGAGACCAGATTTAAACTCAGCTCTTCCTGCCTTCAGGCCTGGCACTCTATCTACTGTACCACCTAGTTGTCCTAAAACATACATACATACATACTGTCAACCCTGTTCACAAATGATCAGAGAGTCACAGAGGTTATACAACCTCTGTTAACTTTAAAAATACCGAAGAACTCACATAGGTTATCACAACCACTGTTAACCCTGTAATAACAAAATAAAACCAAATAGCTAATAGTGGTCACAAGCAAAAAGCTTTCTTTATTCCATTGAAGGAAGGAAACTACACACATGTGTCGGGGCCCCCTCTAGTTGGGCACCCACTTTACTGTGAGCAAATCTCAGTACAAATACCAATGACTATGCAGTGAGCTGTAGTCCTGACAGTGAGGGGTAACAGCAACAATGAGACAAGTTTGACTCATAGCAGGGCTTCGTGACCAGAACTTGGGTACTACAGGTGCTTGTCTGAGCTCAGAGAACACCTGGTGCTGGTGTGAAAAAATTCTAGGATTTTGCTGTGTCTAAGTTCACCCAGAGGGTGAGCTCAAAGTATTGGTATTATGTCAAGCTCAGGGCACAGCTTGATTGATGGGCCTTAGCTCTGGAAAAACGGAGTGTCTTCAAATAGTATCCAGACAATACATGCAGCAAATCAATATAGAAGGATATATGTGTGTTTGTGAGTATACATATAGGTATATAACCTACATAGGTGGGAAGAAAATATTTTTTTTATCTTCAGTTTATTTTTTTTATTAAAGTATGTTATGCTGAATTGGCAGGAAGTTTTTCGTTCTGTCACATTGTTTCTAGTAATAAGCAATGATGACAAATGTCTGTGTAGGCTTTAGCAGTACAAATGTACCTTCTTTTGTGAAGGAGCCCCAGAATTCCTCTGGGCAGCGTATGTATCTGTAGGTCCTTCCAAAACAATTGTCCATCATTTTTGCTTCTTAGCACCAGGTCAGATGAATTCCTGACCTGTAGTGAACAGATGCTCCAAAGGGAAGGAGATCAAGAAATGTGGATGGCAGAATTACAGCATCAGGCAAGGATAATGACTCTGTTTGTGAATTGGAAGAAAAGTAAAGAGTTTGGTCTTTCTAGAACCACTTTCTCTTTAGCTCCATATTATTCCTGAGCCTTTATTTTAGAGCTCAGGTAGCTAATATAGCTAATTAATTTTCACAATGCCTATGAAGAAAAGGAATCACATTTGTCTGGCTTATATTTGTGTCTAAAGGTTTATAAAGTGATCTTACAATACTCCTGTGAGACAATAAGTATGGGTATTATCATGCCCAAATTAATACAAGTAAAATGAACCTTAGAGAGAATAAGAGACCTAGCTATGGCCACTTAGGTAGTGAATCATTAAATTATTTTATAGAATTATTAAATAGGGGCAGGCATACCTGGGTCTATGGGTACTCTCCAGGAAACACCATAATGGCCCCAGGGAATAATACTTCAATCATACTTTAATAAGACACAGGGGCAAATGGCACAGAGAGTATAGAGACAAATAGCAACAGAGACAAACAATGTGGGAACAGAGATGGTGAGTTAGAGGAAGGCAGGAAACTTGGGGAAGAGTATAGGAAAGGAGATAGCCACGTACATAACAATGGATGAGGGTTGGGAGCACTCAAGCAGCATGAATCCTTCATAGATGGAAGAGTGCAGGGGGAGCAGAAGTTTGAAGTCTCATTTTTTTAAAGGTTTTAGTGGGGAACAGATTAGCTCTTATCCATGCCACCTTAGGGTTAATTCATTAACATATTCACATCATCTTAAACTTCTCAGCAAATTTGGTGTTCTACTGGTCTTACTGTAGATGTCTAGAGCTCGTTTGAGGTTTATAGATGATAAGACCAAAAGGCCCTGACAATAAAGGCTAGATGGCTTTTTCTGATTTAGCAAATAGTTTCAATATGTTATTTTAAGTTAATATGTGATATATTTTCAAATCATCTTCCTTTGATCTATGGGGCAGTCTTTAAGTGACTTCTAGGTTCCCCTTTATGATCTAATGGTAACTGTTACTTTATACTGACTGTTTATAACCTTACTATATCAGCTAGAAGGAGGGCCAGTGTACCAAAACAAGATAAAATTTTAATACAGCTAGTAAATAAATCAAGTAGCCCTTGAAAAGAAGCAAAAATTTATTGATACCACTTGCTCAATATACAACATATAAATGGAGGGCCACCAAGTCTAATACTATACCAGTGATGATAATACAGTTTTCCTTGAACAATACTTGCTTATAGACTTCTGTTTTTGTTGTTTTGTTTTTAAACTCTGGCTCAAAATCACTATTCATCATTGTAGGGCAGACTATTTCTAAGAAAGAGTGCTTAAATGTCATGATATTTATCTGGCTTCTCTGTTAGGATATTTTAACCCAGAGCCAGACAGATCAATATATTTCTTGGGAACAAGACAGTTTGATGGACAGAGGGCCATATCTATAGTCAGAATAACAGCAATAGATAACATTTATGTAGTGCTTACTATGTGCCAGGCACTATGTTAAATGTTTTCAATTATTATCTCATTTGATCCTCACAGCATCCCTGGGAGGTAAGTGCTATTATTTTTACAGATGAGCAAACTGAACAGAATTAAAGTGACTTGCCCAAGGTCACACATTTGTAAGTGTCTGAGGCCAGAATTGAACTCAGGTCTTCCTTATTCCAAACTTGGCATTAAATCCTACCTCCTAACTGAGTATTCATTTACAAATTACTTAACCTACCTCAGTTTTAGCTTTCTCATCTGTAAAATAGAGATAATACTTGCATTTACCTCATAGTATTATTGTGAGTCATAATCTATGTAAAGACCTTTGCCACCTTAAAAGTCCTATATTATTTTCAATTGTCATTATCCTTTTCTTTGCTGCAATTTTGTAGACTGGGGAATTGAGTGAAATAGTCATAAGTAATGATTTTATCTCTCTGCCATTAGGCTTAGGATGGTTTTACCAACTGAGAACATACACTAATTAATTATTTTTTGGAACAGACTTGGAAGTTTCATTGGTATAGGAAACTCCTGCTGGGGAAATTCCTTCTACTTCTACACAACAGAACCTGTTCCTCAACTTATCATCTTAGAGAGGGACCACCTTTTCCAGGGATGCACAATCAGTATGAAGTCAGAAGTAGGATAGGTCAGTTCTATCTACTAAGTAAAACTAACTTTCACCATCTGAATTACTCCTTCTCTATCTCCTTGTCCAATTTCAGTAAAGCTTAAACAGGCCTTTCACTGATAGATATTTATATTTTTTCTTTTCTTTAAGGGGAATGCATACCAACTACCATGGTGTTACTAAATACATTTTATTTTGCTTATGTCTGTCATAGATAACACAGCCAGCATTCTGACAAGGCGGAGGAGATTTAGTCGAACTATTCAGGATGTGTATTATCTCCCCATTATGATCTCTGATGGTGGAATCCCCTCTCTCAGCAGCAGCAGCACCCTCACCATCAGGGTATGTGCATGTGAGAGAGATGGGCGTGTGCGGACCTGCCATGCTGAAGCCTTCCTGTCCTCTGCTGGCTTAAGTACAGGAGCCTTAATTGCAATTCTTCTCTGTGTCCTCATTCTTTTGGGTAAGCCTTTGGAACTTAATGCCATTGTGTTTTGACTTTTTTCTTGCTCTACTTAAAATGTCCCCAAAATTACTGGTATGTGGCAAAAGTGAGGCTCCTCAGATGTGACAAAAGTCCAAAACCCTTGGTATCAGGCCACTAAAACAGGTACCAAAAATGACTGCAAGATCAAAACCATGAAAGACCACTACACTCTGGAATTCCTGAAATTCATATGCCACTGGGTAACTAGTAATACAAAATCATCACAAGCAACTTGGAAATTGTTTTTATTCATTTAAATGAAAGAGTTTGAAAGAGGAAAAAGACAATGGAAAGTTTTTGGGGGACAAAAGAAATGGCACAATACAGGTACAAGTATGTTACTTTTAATTTTTTATATAGACATTATCTAATAATTTCTCTGGGAGGAACTGATATCCATTTAAAGAAAGCCTGAGACTTAAGAAAAAGGTGAAGGGAAGTGACTTTGGAGAGAAATCCCTCAATCAGCAGTTCAGTGGCCCAAACCCTTTGGTAAATAGTCTAATATCTTAAAATAGCAAAATTATAAAATGCTATATATAAAACAGTCTTTGGGTTGGCAGATGAATTGTACTTCATATTTAAATAGAGCTTGATGTCAATGACATTATGTCTTTATCCCTCCACTTTATAAAATGGACCAATGCAGTTTAGAGAGCTTCTAAGGAGGATAGAGGAAAAAAGTCAAAATTATATTTTATGGGAAATGATGATTGACTAAAATTGAGATACTAATTCTTGCTCTCTTTTATTGGTGATCTAATTAAAAATTCTAACTGGTATCAGTGATTGAGTACACTATTAGCACAAATTTTCCTAAAAATGTTATTTTCCTTAAGTGCTAATTTTTAACTGTTTTTACCTTTCCACACTTCTTCAAGCTCTCTACCTTGCATTGCTCTAGTTGTACTAGTTGTTTTCACCCCAAAGCAAAGAATTCCATTTTTTAACCTTCTCCTGATGAGAATATTTGTAGCTAGAAGATGGCCAGCCTCAGGATGCACTAGTATTGACGTATTTGAGAGCAAAAGGTTCGCTGGCAGGTGGGTGCTAATAAATGCTTAACATAGACTCTCTAGGGGAAAAAAAAATGTATATGATACACTTTTAAGTAGAATTTGCTTTATTAACATTTTCACCATCAGTTTTTAAGTATAAACAATTAAAAAAAATTAAGCCCAGATTTATGGCATTTGTTAATTTGTGGAGTGTAAATGTCCAAACCAAAAATTTAACAATTGGCTTTTGGGAACCTGTTGGAGCTGGCTCTAGCACACTCCTGGTACTGACTTTTTTTTTCCTACAAAGTATATAATGTCTCAGATATTTACTAATTATAATCCTGGGCAAGTCACTTAACTTTAGCCTGCCTCAGCTTCCTCATTTGTATAGACCATAATAGTATCTATCTTCAAGGGTTCTTGTGAGCATAAAATGAGAGAATTTTAAAATGTTTTGCAAACCTTAAAGCACCATATAAATGCTAGTTATAATAATAATTATTATACTTGTGATTATTATCATATACTTTGTAAGTATTTATTCTTTCTATTCTTATGGGGCTATATATGTGTATACAAGAGGAACTTTGAGTTCTCTCCCATACATATCTGGTAGGTTCACACACAGAAGGCAAGAATCTGGGAGAGACATGACTTTACCTCATGTCATTAAAGTATAAGGTTCCTAATCCAAATAGTAACATACTCAGTATCATGTTCACCATTTTATTGACATTTAAAAGGATTGGGAGGCAGAATGATGCAGAGTAAAGAACCCTGGAGTTGAAGTCGGAGACTCTGAGTTCAAATCCTGCCTGTTACTACCTATGTGAACTTGGAGAGACAAGTCATTTAAGCCTTCTTGTTCCTCATTTGTAAAATGAAAGATTTCCTAGGTATTGTCCAGCTCTGATGTTATGATTCTATCCTTCTATGTCCTCTGAAGTTTCCTGTGAAATATAGCTCTGAAAAACAGGCTTTAAAAAAGCCTTTTGTGTTTTAAATGCAGCTTCTTTACTAGCCTTTAAACCCAAACCATTCTGGTTTTCATTGAATAGTCAATAATAGACACAGCCCTAGCCTCTATGGCTCTTTGTTTAGTTTTGATTGCTTAGAATGAGTGTAAATAGCAATTGTTTTCTGTTCTGGCCAGAAACACAAGACAGTCTTCCCCTCCCAGATTGATATATTTGGGACTGTAAATTGAGTTATCTTATTCTGGCCTAGCCCTTATTCATTAATTGAGCATGGTCTCAGACAAACTGAAATCTGGAAAGACCTTAATTTAGAAAGGCCAAGGTCACCCACTGCATTCTTTTTCTTGCCACCAGACTCTGATGGCTGTGGAGGAGGGAGAGAGGCTTGTGACTTTGCATAGCTCTGCCTCATTCAAATCCAATTCATATGCAAATCAAGACATCATACCTATGATCCTCTTCCAGAAAGGAGGATGAACAGCAACAACATAAATATCCATGTTTTCATGGTTATATAGTATTTCTATGACCTATAAATGATGAAAAAATGATATTCACATATTATTTATTTTTTATTTAATTTTAAGACATTTTTCTCTGTGTTCTACTTCTAAATTAAAGAAAAAAGAAGAAAAGAAAAAAAATCCTTATAACAAATATGTATACTCAAGTATAATGAATTCCTGCTTTGGCCAAATTAAAAAAAAAAAAAGTACGTCTCATTCTTCTTCTGCAAGTCCATAACCTCTTTGTCAGGAGGTGGGTAGCAAGCTTCATCATTGGTCCTCTGGAATAATGGTTGGTCACCATACTGATCATCAGAGTTCTCAAATCTTTCAAAATCATTTGTCTTTACAATTTGTAACTTTTTAAAAAAAAAGGTTCTGAGATAAATGCAAGACATTAATTTCCCTTTAAAATAACATTTTAAAAAATTGAATGGATTATTTTTATTTGAATGCTTCCTGTAGAGGTAATGTCATTCAACGTAATTTTTAACAAGGATGTGGCGTTTTTTTCAATGTATATAATATTTTAGCCCATCAGGTGACAAGGAATATGGTAGGAGGAAAATTAGGTCATTATAATATAAGCAGACATTGCCAGCATGTGTTTACAACTATGATAGAAAATCCTTGCTCTCATGTAATTTTCTTCTACCTGCTGGGGCAAGACATATGTGGCCTGAAGGAGGAGTAACTAAACTTGGTGATTGGATACTGACTGAGTCAGCTATATAGAGCAGTGGATACCCATCCACTGGACCTGAAGTCAGGAAGACTTAAATTCAAATCTGGTCTCAGAATGATGTTGAATTTTAAACAATACGAAACACTAAGACATAGTGGAAGTAACATTAGACCCTAAGCAGGAAACCTGGGTTCTACTCCCACATCTACAATTAATTATGTGACCTTGGAATAGTCATCTAAAATTATCAGGACACAGCATCTTAGTGTACCTCACAGATTATCAAGTCCTACTTACAGCACAATTTGAGTGTACTCTGATATCTTCTATAAATGGTCACTTAACCTCTTTTGAATATTTCTAGTGATTTAGTCCTTAAAAGCAGATAATAGGACAACTAACCCACTTTAATAAAATCTTTCCTTATATTAAGCCTAAATCTACCTCTCCAACTTCCACCCATTCATAGTTCATAGCCTTGTTCCCTAGATCTAAGCAAAACAGATTTCCTTATTTCAGCCTGGTAAATAGTTGGAGAAAGCTGTTAGCACTCTCTACCCTACAAGTTATCTCTTCTTCAGTATAAATACCATCAGTTTCTTTAACTAATCCATCTATCAGATGGTTTAGAATCCTATCATTATCCTGGTTACCTATTTGTGGATACAAAATAATTTGCCAATGACTTTTTGAAAAATAGCAATTAAAAAAAAGGGAGCACAGATGTGTTTTGACCAAGCCACAGTCACTCATTGTGGACACTGTGCCTCCATTAAAGTATTATCCTTTCAGAGGTTCAATTTACTTGTCTATAAAATGGAGGGGCAGATTAGATTTGTCAATCTCTTGGGACCCTTCCAGCTCTAAAATTCTATTTTACCTTTGGATACTAGATTTTCACAAATTTTAAATGTTTTATTTATCCAATACCATAACAATTAAAAAAAAAGACTAATTAGAGAACAAGATATGGGATAAAATGTTTTTTTAAAGTCATTTTATAAACAAAATAAAGTTATTTGATTCTGAAAATAAATACCTTAACGTTAAAAGTAGGTGCAGCTAGGTGGCACAGGGCACAGGAGATAGAGCACCTACTCTGGAGTCAGGAGGACCTAAGTTCAAATCTGGCCTCAGACACATAACACACACTAGCAGTGTGACTCTGGGCAAGTCACTTAACCCCGATTGCCTAGCCAAAAAAAAAAAAAAAAGATTAATATTAAAAGTGTAGCACTTGGGTCCTCCAATCACATGAAGTTTCCAAGAAAGCTATCCCAATTGAGTTAAATAGTGAATCAACGTCCAATTAAAATACTAGCTCATGAGCTTCTACAAATACATTGCTTTTGTTTTGCTAGATCAAGAGGAAGCCATAATATTTCAGAACAAATAATATTTTGTTAAGCAGTTTAGCAAAATAAGTGACAATAAATATTCTACCATATATACCTACCCCATATATACTTTCATGACTTCTATAGGTAGGTGATGCACACAGGAAACATTTGTGATCAGAAAACAATTATGAAAGGACACATATGTAAGAAACATGTATGGCCAAATAACCTCATGTGAAGGGGTATTCATGGAAGCACTGCTTGTGGATAGAAAACACACATGGTCAGGGACAATTTCTACTTGAGAGCCCCATGCAATGTCATCACATTACTTTTTACTGGTTACTTCTACTCTCTATTGGGCATTTAGCTGATTATCGCTCCCTACTACTACATTCTGGTTTTCAATTGTAATGTAGTTTAATTTTGGAGCTTCTCTGATATCTTTGGGTCTCAGATCTGGAAAG